CTTTCAGATGATACCTATCTCATGCACAAAATCGCTGCGACTTCTGACACTTCCCTTGTAAGCATGTTTTCGACAGAAGGAAGAAATCTGAAGATCGTACTTTTTTTTGATAATCCCTATCTCGCGAGCTGTGTTTTTCAAAATTTCGATGAGATTTCATCACTCAGTACAATTTCATAACGTTTTTATCGGGTTTATAAGAAGATAAATGACTTTGAAAATGAGAAGTGATCCATTGAAAAATCCCAGGAAATTTCGCAAAACGTGAAAATCTAATCTTGTATGACACAACCAATATGCGCAGGTATCAGATATGAGAACCTTCATAATCCAAATAGAAAAAATAATAAGAAAGATATCAAGAGTAGCGAGGTATGACGCATGACGCGTTTGTACGTACAGTGACCGCCAAAAAGTTGCAGACAAGCCGCCTTCCTTTTTCGTCGCTCATTTTCGGATGGAAAACGAAGATGAAAAAATAATTGGATTGCATAGGGTGATAGTGCTCACCAAGAGCTACAATCCACATATTGCGCTTTCTGGGAAACATGTATTATAAAAGTTAAAAAACTCTTTTTCGAAAAAAAGTCCGAAAATGGCCGCGTCACAATGTCGCGGGCAATAATTCTTCGAACGCGAAACTTTTCTGTTAGGTCTTTTCTTGGAGCAAAAACAGAAGATATCCGGACAGGTAAGCATGCTATATTGTAGAACTTATCGAGGACAACAATCGGGTAGTGGTTAATTCTAAAGAAACCCAAGTTTGAATTTTGTTTTGCTTCTTTTCAAAAAATAATTTCTACTTTCCTTCTTCAAGCCAAATTTCTTCTCATGGAAATCTATAAGGCATTCCAACAAGGCTGTTCGGATAAGATGGATGCTCTTTGCCATCCTCTATGCATCGGACATGTACTGGTGAGTTTCTTTGCTGAAAATAGCTCTTGACAGTGAGTTCAAATGACCCCACCTGAGATACAAGCCTGCAAAGCGGTGCAAGTCAGCGGTGAGGTGCAGGTGGGGTCATGTGAACTCACTGTCAAGAGCCATTTTCAGCAAAGAAACTCACCAATACACGTCCGCTGCATAGAGGATGGCAAAGAGCATCCATCTTATCCGAACAGCCTTGTTGGAACTGCTTTGAGTAGATTTCCATGTGAAGAAATTTGGCTTGAGGAAGGGAACTAGAAATTATTTTTTGAAAAAACTTTGACTTCCGTTTTTGCTCCAAGAGAAGACCTAACGGAAAGTTTTCGCGTTCGAAGAATTATTGTCCGCGACATTGTGACGCGGCGATTTTCGGACTTTTTTCGAAAAAGAGTTTTCAAACTTTTATAATACATGTTTTCCAGAAAGCGCAATATGTGGATTGTAGCTCTTGGTGAGCACTATCACCCTATGCAATCCAATCATTTTTCATCTTCGTTTTCCATCCGAAAATGAGCGATGAAAAAAGGAAGGCGGCTTGTCCGCAACTTTTTGGCGGTCACTGTATATACGTGCATACGGGCCTAAGTGATTAAAGGCACCGTCTACCCAAAAGGAGGTTGGCGAGATTATGATGGCATACTAGTGTGGGCCCCCATACTAGACAAACCTCCAAGCTTCGCCGCAAAAGACTAATTCTGGAGCGAGAAATCCGCCCGGAACCACGCCCACTTGCATGCTTTATTTCTCGAAACAAGGATTTTTGGGGATTTCGCGGATTTTCGACTCCATATTCGGAATCAGGGCTTTCAGAAGGCCTGAAGGCGACAAAAACATTGAAATCGAGATTTTGGATGGACTGTGCCTTAAAAAAGTTTAGAGATTTACGATGGACTGTGCCTTTAAAAAGTCGACTCTCAATAGAGACGATCTTTTGGTGATGCATGGTGTGATTAAGGAAGAAGAAGGTAGATTTTTTGATTTGTTGCAATAAATCGAACTATTTACATGCAGGACATGTGACACTGCTAAACGGGTTATAAGAAAATGTACGAATCTAATAGATCGGATGGTCAGAAGCCTTGCAACACATGCTTACTAACATTTGTATTTGAACTATCGGAAAACAGAAGGGGTACGTCATAATTTAGGCTCAAATCAGTAAGATGCGCTGGATGTCCATATTTAGATCGAGAAAAGGACGGAATGATGGACGCATCTAAGAGGAAGAGTTCGAAGTCTCCTCTTTTATGAAAACATAAGACATTGCTGCTTCATCACCTTTTCAATTTCATGCGTGAGTCCATGGATAGCATTTGCTGTGTTCAGCACTACAGTGATGACAATCTGTGCCAATTGTCTAGCATTTTTTGTGACTAATAAATAAGAAATTTACCGGGTTAGCACAAAACGTTCGTTCCGCGAAATTTCAATTTGGCAAGCCATGACTTTGTCAAAACATCATGATTTTGGGTGTAGAGCAATAAAGCTCTTTCGCAACTAAGCGCAAACTCGCTTTCAATAATATTACAAACTGCAAAAAACAGAAACATATTTTTTCTTAAACCTCGTTTTTGGGAAATCATAATTTCTTCATTGTTGCTATTGTGATGATAAAATTTCAGACAGCGAAAGTACCTCGAATTATAAAAAAAGTTGTACTTGCAAAAAAAGATTTTGCATCAACTTTAATAGTTCAAGTATAACAACATAGACACAAACGTAACGAAGCTATCGATATGCTGGTATGTTTTTTTGGAAAATCGTTGGCGATTGATTTCATAGGCATAGCTGTCGTGTTTGTGCCAAAATGGACAGTTATCAGCAGGCCTTTACAACTTTTTGATGCATCAAATTTTGGAGAGTGTTGGAATTATTAGGAATTCTTACATTTCGTAAGCAAAACTATATGTCTAAACAAATGAGATGGTGTCTCATCGGAGTCACACTATCTTTTCCTAACGATAAAGCCATCAAACTGAACTTGCTCAAAAAAGTGTGATGTCAGTCCCTTCTGTAGAAGTCCAAGTTTTCTCCTGCGCAGTCATTTCGATGTCGTAACTTTTGTATCCACTTTCAGCAATTTTATACTCAGTCAACTGCTATCGCTAATCACTAAACGTTTGAGCCTCGAAAAATCCAAAATATTCATTGAAGGCAACCTAGCAATGTCACTTTTACATTTTCCTCATTTGTTGTTTTCTGCTTTGTAAAAATTCACTCTGTTTTTCTTTTTTCCAAAGTAGAAGAAGCCTCTTTTTTTACAGGATCTCAAGTGCCAGTTCTAGCGCAAAACGATAAATAGCGCCCCATACTTAGATGTTCATGCTTTAGAAAAATAAGCCTGTTCTATAGAAGGTGAAATGCTCATTTTTTCAATGTCGTGCGCGTGTTGCTCTTTTTGTTCTGAAAAAAAAAATTATTGCGACTTATGTATAGGTCTCTGGAAAAAACACCTTTGTAAACATGCTCTTACTTTGTTTTTTTTAGATCAAATTGAAGGCTACCTACGTTTAAGCCGATAAAAGTTGTGCCTTTCGAAATGGAAATTTCAAGAGCTTGTAAACAGACAATCGATGATCTTGATTCTTGTATTATTGCGAAGCAACAAATCGGCAGAACGACACTGCTTCTTTTCAGTAAATTGAGGAACTATGGATTACAGCAATGCTCTTGTTGTTTTTTCCAAATTCCAAATAGAGCTTTTTGTAAACGTCGAAACGACAAAAGCTTTATATCATATCTGTTTTTATCGACTGTAAAAATTGCAAGAGTGAAACTTCTATTCAAGCAGCAGGCAGAATTTCTGTGAGTGGATGTTTTCTTTGCGTTTAAGTAAAACGATTCTAGAAAAATTAACACAAATTTTCAAATGGAGCAATTGTTGATGAACTTAGACTTGATTACTGAAGCGATAAGAGAGCCACCAGTAAAAAGTGAACAATAATATCAACTGCAAATTTTGTATCAAGTCCTTTATTTTCTACCCTTGGAACTTAGTAAACAGTCTTACCGAAACCCAGGGGACTGTTCGAATAGCTATGGCTCAGGAATTCTTTTGCATGCATGTCATTCCGTGAAGAGCTCGCCTAAAGTTTAAGATTGTTCACACTCATGACGCACACCATAAAACACCTTTCACTGTAGAGAACGTTCGCATGGGGAATATGCTCCTTATGTCATATGCAAACATTGTTTGAAGAACTTCCCACATTATTTGTGTCCGCTCAAACAATTGCATCTACACTTTTACATGAAAGCTGATGTTATTTCTGGTATATCGCGAAACACAATGCAACCTTTCTAGCTCATGTTAAATGGACGTATTATTTGCATCGCAGAAAGAAGACTAGAAAACGCCACGACACATGCTATAATCCTTTCTCATTCATATACCTCATCCAGTCAAAAACAGGACATGGTGTCACTAAACGACATTATATGTCATTTGGCGTACATAGAAAAAAAACAAAACGAAATCTCCTATGCAACTATGAACATCAAATCTCCAGAGTCGGGTTTTATTTCGAAGCTGAGAACTGGATGAAATGCATGAAGGAGATATCATCGCAGAATTCGTGCGCATACGCGTCTTGACAACTCGAAACGAAGCGGTTTTTGATAACGGGAGAGTGCGAAAAGCAATGCTATAATTTATTTATTTATTTATTTATTTATTTATTCAATACGCTCTTGGCGTTCCTTACAAAAAGAACAAAAAAGAACACGAGTTACTCTTACAACCGCAATCAAAGTCTACCATGAAGATTAGGTCCAAACTTTCAAATTGGTTAAGAATTATATGTTGACTGAGCTTGTATGTGACTGCTCTAGATTACATGTGTCGAATCTAAAGGTGTGGTCATGGAGATGGTACCCATGCCCCCATTATTGCCAGCAAAACGTCTCTGAGATCTAGGTTTGGATGGTGGATATACTCTCACCATATAAGGCAAGTAGGATGAGCTTATTAACTCAAGATTAATCTTGAGTAATATGGAGGGTTGTAATGAATCATATGTGAGCGAGAAGATCAGCCAGTTGTTGAAAGCTATGGGAGTGGTGTTCACGCCTACCCGTTTGCTAACAAAATGCTCTTGAAGTAGTAAAGTTAGCAAAGCAGGATTTGGTCGGTAGAGTAGCAAATAACCTTGCCCAAATGATTCCTGGAAAAGACCAATGCTCCGAGAGAATATCAATAGAATTCCTCTTATTAACCCAACTAGAGCAAGTCAGCAAGCTTTGCTGATTGAAAGGAAGCAATCGTTGTTCAGACCTGCACTAACATGATGACATGATATGGATTAGTAAGAAATGTAGAAAGCAAATAGTATTGGTAGAAAGACAAGTATCAATGGCCGTATTTGGTCTTGATTTGAAATCGATTCAAAATTATAATCGCACGTTCGCACATGGCCACCTGATCATGGAAAAACATATGTCGGACTAGCACTATCTGTAAAGATTTCATTTAATCTCAGTGTTTTTAGTTTATTTTTGAAAGATCTGCTATTAGTGCATGATAGAACTTCATTAGGTAGTTTTTGTATCGGGTTTATTACACGTTGGAAAAAGTCATAGTTTGATAACGTTGATTTCTTTCGCCCTCTTTCGAACAACAACTGATCCTTCCGTATGTGGGTCTGAATACCCAGTATTTGGAAGGTCTTAATATGGTCTCCCATCTGAAAATCCTGAAAGCAAGTACAAGGTCGTGTTCAACTCTACGGTAAGAGAGGCTTTTCAGACTAACAAGGAAAGGAAGGTTGGTCGAAGTGGCTCAAATGAGATATATACTTCCTTGTAGAGCTTGGAACGCTGATTCCAAATCTACTTTTGCTATCTGCTGCGGGCATCTGGGCCAGGAGTTACGAACGTTTTTGTGATTAAAAATCTGAATGCAAGAGTAGGCTAAAATCAGTCGTAACATTTTTTATAAGGCTTAATTGGTAGTCGGCACTCGGTGCAACCAATATTCTTGATTTAAATATACCAATTCGCTGCTGTTTCATTTAAACATTGGGAAAAGGTTACGACTAATTTTACCCTATTTTTGCATTTAGATTTTTACTCACAAAAACCTTCATAACTCCTCTCCCAGAAGCCCGCAGCAGATAGCAGAGGCAGATTTGGAATCAGCGTTCCAAGCTCTACAAGGCAGTATACACCTCATTCCAGAAGGCCACTTCGATCAATCTTCCTTCCCTTGTAAGTTTTTTCAAGCGTTCTTCATAATTAGGAAGTGATTGGGGATAGTTTGGACTGGGAAAGCAACGGTAAAACAGAAGTCGTGTAAAAACTTTCTGAACGTTCTCCAGAGATTGTTTGTGCTTCACTAGAGAGGGGTTCCACACCTGTTTTGATTTGCATACTCTAGAATGGGGATAACAGAAGCTCTGTAAAGTTTTAAGAGTATCTTTGGGTCATCGACTTTGATGCTACGATATATGAGGTAGGTAACAGAAATAGCACGGGAAATAACGGCTTTGATCTGTAAGTCAGGTTTCAGAGATGGGCTAAAAATTACTTTCATGTCCTTGACATAAGGGCCCGTAGTAATCTACCCTACCTGCCGGCAGGTCTTGCCCTCAACTCGTCGCGATCTCGCCCTCATGTCATGGAAACTGACAACGCTCTTTCTAGCTCCCCCAAAGCAATCAGTCTGGCATTCTCCATGTCTGACGGCCCAGCCTAGAGGTGGGCACCAGATGGAGGTCGAAAAAAATCCGAAAAATTTCGACAAATTCAAATTTTGGGTTCAAAAGATTGACCTGCCGGCAACCTCGTAAGGTATTTTGTCGAGATATATGCCGGCATCTCGCCCTCAACCTGCCGGCATATCGCCCTCATGTCAGCAAAGAAAGGAAAATAGCGTGCATATTGAGGAGTGCAACCTGCCGGCATCTCGTCGTGGTCGGACCACGACGAGATGCCGGCAGGTTCATGACATTCATCTCATTTTTTGCCGTATTTTTGATGATTTCTTTATTTTTCGTGTTTTTTTCTTGTTTTTGAGGCACACTCATGATCCAAAACACTCACAAAATTTCAAAAATAGTTGGCATGATGAGTCTTTCTATTTTGCTGTAAGAAAAATAATGATTGTAAAACGTTTCATGCGCTACAAGACCATTTCTTGTTTCCCATTGCATGTTTTCCTATCTGTATTTTGATCTACAGGGTGTTTTTTGAAGGATGCTGTTATGTTTATTGTTTTTTTTTGCTAAACATGGATGCTTAGTATGGAGGTTTTGTTTCTCATGTTGTTCGGTGTTGCAGCTGTTGAGCTCCCAATTAGCTTGCGGCTTCCTATCGTTTTATCTTGATGTAAACATCTACTATACATTAAGATTTGAGTCTAGCTTGATGAGTTTAGCTCAAAATGTACTTTGGATCCTTTGTAGCTGCGGCAAGACGCATGTATTTATTAGGTTGTCAAGAAAATAATGTCGTTTTTCATTTGCTTGTTTTAACAAAGCAACCAGACTCAATCCAACAAAGGGTGATGGGTATTGTTCGATAGAGCAAAGCAAGCTCTACAAGGTGGCACTCATGATTTTGCGCCAAGCTCGATCCACGGATAGTGCGAACTCAAAATCTGAAGATTTCCAAATGCCCAAAAAATCGAAAAAAAATCAGATCTTCGTCCAAATAATTTCTACGGACCTCCCACTCGCACACGTCAACACTTTCGATATCTGATATCCATATGTGAGGTGCTGTACTTCTTCCTTGACTAGAAACTGAGAAAACGAAAATTTTTGTGTTTTTCTAAAAGCAATGCTGAGCCATTCTTGCATATGTGATTCTATACTACTAGCCTAGGTAAGTATAACTGTAGATTTTCAGCTTATTTCGAACGGTAGTTTTCGAGAAATGTCGCTTTTAGCACTGAAACTGAAAAGAAGGAAGCTGATTTCGATATTTCTTGAAAACCACTGCTTGAAATGGGCTGAAAATCTACAGATATACTTACCTAAGCTTGTAGTATAGAATCACATATGCAAGAATGGCTCAGCATTGCTTCTAGAAAAACACGAAAATTTTCGTTTTCTCAGTTTCTAGTCAAGGAAAAAATACGGCAATCGCACATATGGATATCAGATATCGATAGTATTGATGTGAGCGAGTGGGAGGTCCGTAGAAACTATTTGAACGAAGATCTGATTTTTTTTCGATTTTTTGGGCATTTGGAAATCTTTAGATTTTGAGTTCGAACTCTCCGTGGATCGAGCATGGCGCAAAGACATGAGTGCCATCTTGTAGAGCTTGCTTTGCTCTATCGAACAGTACCCATTACCCTTTATTGGGTTGAGTCCTGTTGTTTTGTTAAAGCAAGCAAATGAAAACGACATTATTTTCTTGACAACCTAATATATTCTACTCTGGTATGTCATCATATGTACTATTCTTTGTCCTATATCACGTTCAAGCCAGCGTGTGTCTCGATGCTAAGCGCTGTGTCACAGGTTATCTTTCCATTTCATATTCCCTTTGTTTTTCAAACGCGCATTTGCTGTCTTATCCTCTCGTTATACACGCACATCGCAGTATAGTAACCGATTTCTCTCAAATCGCGCGGTAGTGATGTGCGAATTGTGCGAATTCGGCAATTTCGAAAGACAACGAGAGGGTAGGTAAGTGCAGTAGATACGTTCATCAAAGCTCTTCGGAATTTTTGCAATATAGTTTTTCCAGAACTTTGGCTCAACGAAAAGTGGGTATTTTGTCGTAGTATGATATCAAATGTGATGGAGCAGTCATTGGGAGAGTTGGCGAAAGTTTCCAAGCTCTGCCTTCAGGTACGTTCTATCTACATTCGAAATGTTATTAAGGATTCTCAACTTTTCTGTAGAGTTTACCTACAGTTTACCTGGTTTTTTCTCCTTTCTCCTTCGCACAGTATTGGATAGCACTTCTATCCAATTTACATGATTTATTTATTTGTTCCAAGTTGTTTCTGCTCGCTTTTTCCCTACACTTTCTTGATGAGTCACCTTAACTTTTCTTAATGACACTGTCTCAATGACAGTGTCATATTTATTGCTTGTGTAGTTTGCACTAGCGGCTCCGTTCTGCGCGGTCGCTTTCGCGGATCGTGGAGGTTGGTGATTACGACCAAGCTCGTGCAATATGCCGAAAAGCTTCTCAGTTTCCCATTTGCTTTTTTGCCTACTGTCACTTTTATTTACATGAAGCGAAGTTGAGGAGTCGGAAGAGATTTCGTTTTTGTTTCAAAATCAAGGGCATTGTACAATAATGGTGAGCTGTGTCCTAGTCGAAACACCTAGCGCCCGTGTATAGCACCTTTGGGTATTTTCCACGCCGAGTGGCTCAAAAGATGAGGGATGTGAGAAAATGAGAAAATATTCAAGGGTACGCTCGCACATGCGGCATGACCTCTAGGCGAGGCCGTCGCGCAAATCCAAGCCACTAGCGCAAACGAAGTCATTGTAACAGGTTGCAGCTCCTTTCAGTGTGTCTTTTCTAGGCCCAGTGTATAGATCGCCTCCTAAAGAAGATGGCTGCAAAAGCAGGCTGAGTCGGTCTTTCAAAGGGGCGAGTATTTAAGAGCATTACGAGTTTTTTTTCACCTCTGGTATGTAATGAGCTACTTTCTAGCCGGCATCAGTACTACATAACTTCATTGTACATATCGAGAGAAAGTTTGATTTGGATGTTATGAAAAGGTACAGCATTACATACCATACCGTACATAGCAGGGGTCTAACTAAGACACTGCCCAAGCGGCAGCTCAGGTAGTGCTCTAACGGCTGAGATATTCCCCTCGAAGCTGGACCCTGCGATCGTATTCCGCATGGATTCATGGCGCAAAGCGTGTGTCCTGGCGCGAAACTTCCACCATACAACGATCGCGAGGTCCAGTTTCGAGGGTAATATCTCAGACCTTAGAGCACTACTGCCCAAATACTGCCGCTTGGGCAGTATCTTAGTTAGACCCCCCAAAATTGTTTCCACACCCAAGTCCCAAACGTCCAGATCTGCTTGGACGCTGCCTTTAAACAACACAACTCTTTCGTGGAACTGAACATTCTGTTTTTATATCGAACAAATCC